AAAAAAAAAAAAAAACGCGTTCTCATTGTCAGCGCCCACTCCGTACTGCTGTATGTAGTTACATTGCTGTTGTGTCCCCGACGACCGTTTGTCCGTCTGCAGGCACACATGTTTAGTCTCTGTTTCGAGCGAGTGTGCGGGTGTACACCATCGTGCCCGGACCCACCTCTAGCCAGGGTGTCGCAGTATATGACCTTGTCAGGCTTTGCCGGCCGACGGTGCCCGGCCGTGTGTGTCCAAAAGATCGAAAAATTAAAAAATGTGTTTGTTGTGCCGCACAACGGTCCATAAGTGCCGTTTCCTCGGTGGTGAGGTACCTCTCTGTCTCCTTTTCGCGCGAACATGCTGGTACACCATCGTGCCCAGACCCATATCTAGCCAGGGTGTGGCAGTGTATGACCTTGTCATGGATATGGACACTGCCACGGTGCGACAGGGTCTTGTACAGGGTCGATTAGCCCACAGGTCGTAGCAGGGTGAGCCGAACGGCTACGGGTGACCAAGCTCGAGGGTCTCGGATTCCCAAGTTCCACAGGTCGGGCTAAGAGGGACGCATCCATAGTTGGGTCTCTTGCTGATGAACGATCAGTAAGATACTCCGTTCGGATCGTATCTTGGTCCTACTTTTGTATGTGCAACAACAATGGCTACGACACCTCTTCACCTGTCATCCACAAGATCCCGGAATCGTTGGGTAATCGTAGGATTTTTTTCGGACCGAAGCCATCAAAGACACTGCTGTGACACCAGGCAGTTATTTTACTTTTTTGCTTGACGCGGGTGGGCGCCCACCGCTATTGGTATTACCAACCCGTAGCGTTGGGAATATTGCCGGGGGCGGCGAAGGCTGCATGACTGCGCCATGCGAACGGCTGCTTATGATGCACTCATGTATAGGCGCATGACGCACGACCCGCGGGTTGATAGAAGTCGACCTTAAAGAGTTGCAAAAATGTCTAATCGCGCTAGCAAGCAATCGTCCACGAATAGATGTACCTAGAGCACACAACACGCACTCACACGCTTCCCCCAAACACACAACACGCAAGCGCACACTTCCCCCCCTCCCCTTCACTCAGGCTCGACACGGCCAAGTACAGGACACACCCGTTGCAGGACTCTAACCACACCCGGTCACACGAATAGGTGAGCATTTGTGAGTTGCTTTATGCCACGAGAAGCAAGTAATGGCAACACAGAAGAGAACCTTGCTTTTTTTTCGAATTCTTGCTCGGCCTTTTTGCTTCTCCCACCTACCATACAAGGGTTGGGACTCCCGTGGCCCGTTGTCGCACCATGGTCTAGTTTCGTCTCATGACCTTCCACATCTTGGAGAGTGATCTGGACTGCGCTATTCTCGGGTCTATCTACCTCGGAGGATGCGCAAAACGAGGAGTACAGCATAGAGAGCTTTACAGCAGGCCATTATCGTGTCACAGCAGGCAACATTCGGACAAACCTGTAGTCATCGTATCGACAACTTCCACTAGCTTCCCTTTTACCCCAGCATAACACATATGTAGTCAGATGCGCACAGATGATATTTGCTGAACTTGTCCCCCACAGGGGAGTCATCGCTGTATCTACTGCCTCGGGGAATGGTAGAAGCACACATGTTGGTCATTCAACGCGTCGCAGCACGTACTCGTAGGTGGCATGACGTAAGATAGCACACCCCTGCATCAATGCTCAGAGCCCGAACACTCCACAACGAAATACGTCACCATTGAGTGATTCCTTTCACAAAGCTTCTCTTCGAGAAGCTTTCGTCCCCGCCATGGTCGGCATCGTCACAGTTTCCTACAGAGGACTCGAGCTCTTTTCTTTTTGCAAGGGGGTGGTATCCTTTCAACCTATACATTCGGTTGATTCCTACAATTATCCCGCACATATTTCTGTGGATTTGGCCGGAAGATGGCACCGGTCGGAGAGATGGCACCGGAGTGCGATAAAAAAAAAACGAGAAAAACACATCTACTTCGATTGACGCACTGGGGTCGGTGAGATCGCACCCACCGGGGTCGGTGAGATCGCACCCGGTGTGATCTCTCCGACCCTAACTATGGGGGACGTCCTCATGATCGTCTCCACCCTCTCGCAGCCGAAGAAGTTGTCGCGCTCGCCCACCGTCACCACCGCTGGTGTTGCTAGCGTGGTCGGCACCCTCGGGGTCATCCGACTTTTCCTCCGGTTTCCTCCGGAGGACTGCTACCACCCGAGGGGGCGAAGCAGGCACGCGTTCCAAGGGTGTCCCAAGTGCCAGCGGGGTTGTCGGTTGCTTAGCGGCGAGGCGTTGCTGTAGCTGCTCTAGCTCAGCTTCCAGCTCAAGGCGTCGTTGCTGCTCCTCAAGCCGCCTGCTCTCCGCCTCTTCCGCCTTCTCGCGAGCGCGTTGCACGGCTGATTGCTTTTTCGCCATCTCTCACCTCTACCGCTAGTTCCAGCTGAGTATCTTGTAATTCGTCGACGCCAAGAAGGACACAGGCTTCCCTCGTTGGGGGCAGGCCCAGGTCGCAGTAGTCTTTACCCACTACCACGGGCTGACAGTTCTCTTCGCTGAGATTTAGAGAGGAAAGGGTCTCAGAAGAGAGAGACAAAAATGAGAGTCCCGCCGAAGGGGCGAGGAGACCAAGCTCGAGGGTCTCGGATTCCCAAGCTCCACAGGTGGGGCTAAGAGGGACGCATCATCCATAGTTGGGTCTCTTGCTGATGAACGAGATACTCCGTTCGGATCGTATCTTGGTCCTACTTTTGTATGTGCAACAACAATGGCTACAGCACTTCTACACCTTTTTGTCCTCGCTCTTTTTATTTCATTTTCTCTTTCCTCACGGTTTCCTTTTATTTTCTTCTCTTTCCGGCTGAGATAATATGCGTGTGTGTGCAGAATAAGACCGTGTGCGTGCGTGGGTACCTACACTGGTGCCAATCAATACTATGGCAACGGTCGAGGAGATGGCACCGGGATGTGTGCATACAACACCTGGCGCAGTTCATGAGGGATCGCACCGGTCGGAGAGATCGCACCGGGGTGCAACACATGTGTGTATTTATTTCATCGAGGAGCGTACCGGTCGGAGAGATCCTACTGGGGTGCTTTGAATATTCTAAACGACATGATTTAATTGCATTTCCGCACCGGGGTCGGAGAGATGGCACCGGTCGGAAAGATGGCACCGGGGTGCGATAAATAGTCGAGGAAAAACGATCGCACCCGGTGCCAACTCTCCGACTCTTATGGTACATGGGAAAAACAATACGAACACACAAAGACTGATAAACACAATTCGGAGACGCAGGGAAGATGATATCGCTGTGTGCCGCTAGGAAGCCGTAGAAAAACAGGTAGCTTCCGCTGACGCTGTGAACTCATCGCTAATCCATCTTAGACTCTTTTCAAGAGATAGAGATGGATTCGTCGTGTCATGAAGCATGCAAAAAATAAAATGAAACGAATACTCCGCGCCGACCTCTGCTGAAAATGGAGGAACAGCAGTCCGTTTCGCTACCACGATAAGAACTGCTCTGTGTACACTGTAGTCTACGGTGTATGCTACACTACAGCAGGTAACGGCCCATACCTATGCACAAGACCATGCAGTGTTACCAGTGCTGGGATTCTTCTAGTAGTTCGTAAAGTTATGCTACGAACTTAAGAATTTGGCCGCTGGGGTTCTTCTTAATCCGACTTCGCGAACCGTGCTCAAGTTCTTAGACTTTCGGCCTTTCTCGAGCCTAGGCCAAATACGGTTGAAGTGCTGGCACTAGCTGTACCCGATGTACGACCATTCCTCGGTCGGCGGTGGCGGGGGCGGGAGGGGGGGGGGGGTACTCATAGTCGTGCATGCCGTAGTAGTCGTTTGACCATTGACCACGCATCCCTTCAAAACCGGGACGGAGCATGCCGGGTTCTCACGGGACCAGGCTCTCACATCACCAAGCGCGAAGCGCCGTGAGGTATTCGGCGAGTCACATGAAGGGTGTTCTCATCTGGCTATGGGTGTTCGGCATCTTGTGCTTACTTCCTTGCATACGGATAACATCTGCGTATGACTTAGTTTATTTTCTGGTGCTTTCACTTCCAGAAACAATAATGAGCATTGTGTAACTGCCTCTCCGGTGCTTGACCAATACAACACAACGTGGTGCGATCATCCCCTTTGCGCGGAGTAAGAGCTCTCGACTCCGCACAACATGATCTACTCGACCACCATTCGTGGTT